GCAAGAGCTAACGCAGCGCTATTCCCACCTCGATGCCGACGGCATAAGACTCACAGAACGCGGAAACAAAGTCCTCATAAGCGTCAGAGACCTGAGGTATCCCGACAAAGACCGCTGGACGAAACCACAGCTCCTTTTCGACGAAAATGGCTCGGTCAAGGTCAACGTGGCAAGACTAAGGGGCTTTCAAGAGGCCACCCGAAGCATGTTAGAAGGCTTGGAAGCATTGAATGAAAGGATTGCGATAGAAAAACGCGCTATCGAACTGCAAAAAACGTTAAAAGAAAGGGAGGAAGAATACGCAAAGCAAACTCAGCTAATTGTCGATACCGAAAAAAAGTTCGGCAACGAAAGAATGGTAGAAATGAGAAACCAGTTGGATAAAGCCCTGCGCGATAGGGATAAAGCGCAAAGGGACCTGGAGGAGGCCAAAAGCTCTGGCGCCTCAGCGGAAGCGCTGCGGGAAACGTTGGAAGAAAGGGAGGAGGAATACATGAAGCAAAACCAACGACTCGCCAACGCACATAGAAGGGAGGTCGAATTTAAAAATCAAGAAATAAGTGAGCTGGCAGACCAAAGAACCCGAATTCGGCGTGAAAGGAATCAAGCACAAAAGGCCCTTAACCTCGCCCTGCAAGAGTTGGACTTAAGAAGCGAAGATGCTAATGACTTACAAACTACCATAGCCAGCTCTTTAGTGGAACGGCGGCGGTTAATGGCTGAAATCAATACTAAGGAGGAACAAATCCGGCAAAGAGATCAGGCCATCGAAGACCTGGAGGGGCAAATAGAGCGGCAGCAAGAAGTAATCGAGGACCAAACTCGTACCGAGGAAGAAAGGGAAGCAGCTCAAAAGGAAGTAGATACGCTCGAAATACGCCTTGTGGAATTACAGGCGGAAAAGGAGAAGCTGGAAAAGGAGCTAGGGCTTACCACCAAGGAAAAAGTATTAAGAGGTCTTTTAAAGTATGGCGTTCCTCTAGCATTCGCAATTGCCATTTCCAGCGTGGTAGGTGTAATCCTTAGCACACTTAATGCTGTAGGTAAAGCGGCAAAGGCGATGGGAAAGAAATTAGGCAATGGGCTAACGGACTTAGGTAAAAAAATGGCAGCAAGCATTCCGGGCTTGCTTGGTAGCGTTTTAAGCCTGGTATTAAGAACCGGCGGAGAACTGTTAAAGTTCGTGGGGAATAACATTTGGATCTTGGTTGTCGCTATTGGGGTGGTACTCCTGAAGAAGATGAAGGGCTAATCTTGTCCGAGTATTCTACCGTTGGTTTGTCATCGTCAGACGCCCGAGGTGTTCTCGACTGTGGATAAGTAAATATGGTATTCGCGCCGCCTTGGTAATGCGGAACTAGGGATATGGCAGTCATAGTGCTAATGGTCTTATGACTCCAAGTAGCATCCGCCGGAGGGGCGTTGGATCCTGAATAAGTAGCATTTATCGAAGTGTAAATAGTAGACGTAGTTGACGTACCGGTATTAATCTGAAGCTTTGCRTATTGACAATTAGCTATCATATGAAAAGTTACCGGCGTCATATCTTCTTGACCCCTGCAGGGCTCATGTGAAAAATGAGCCGACTCCCTCTTATTTTTCTTTATTCTGTGAGGCAGCAACGGATGGTCATTCTCGTCTACGATCCTAAACCCAATACCGTATTCATCCGCCACGCCAATGCTAATAGTGCATATAATCAATCCTAAACCCCCAACCTTCACCCACAATCCAGTGTCAACCCAATCATCGTTGGGTCCGTACCCCTCTTCCCTTAGGTAATGTAAAAACCAATCTTCCTTCGCGTGTGGGTTCATATATTTCAGGCCTAGAGACTAAGCACCGTAAGGGTGCTAATGGTTGCGTGGTTATATTTTTCATCCCTCTGATTTTCTATGCTATTTACGCAAACACTCCCCGTATCATCTACGCGTATCTGCAGCTTTACCTTTCCATGGCAATCGGTAACCATGTGAAAAGTCCAAACGGAAAGATTTTCGGCGCTGCTGGGGTTGGGTTCTACGGAGAAATGCACAGGCTCCCTGTTGTTCGTCTTCGCGCGCATAGGCTGCAGTACGCCGTTCGCATCCAGGAACCTAAAGCCGACGTTGGCATGGCTTGCGGTTCCAATGCAAATGCTACAAAGGATTAACTTCTTTCCCGAGTAGTTCAAATTCACGGACATACCCGCGACATCAACCCAAGATGGTAGGGCATATTTTTTCTCACCTGTGTAAGTCGTATAGACACAATCTACTCCAGCTACGTAGGGGTTGTTCATCGCCATATAAAATAGCTCAGACCAACACCCGCGACTGTTAGACCGGCTTTTAATAAGTCATGGTCATATTCCTCTTCTTTTTTAGGCGTTGCTATGCGCGCTTTCTTTAATGGTTCCCTAACCACCGGCGGCTTTGTTTCATGCACTTTCTTTGGCTTCTCCACGAAATGGGGGATGTTCCTAAGAGTGTCAGAGTTCACGTTGTTTACCCCAAACTTCATGTCCTTGGTAGCTCGCTGAAGTTTGTTGTTGTAACCC